CTGGGCTTGACTTTTTCTTATAACCTCCACATGTAACCAGGTTCCAGAGCATATTTCTCTCCCTTTCGTTTCTCTTTTTCCTTTCCTTTTCCTCTTTTTTCACTTTCTTTTCCCTTCTTATTCTTTCTCCCAAGAGTTGCTGTCACATGTCCCATCTTCTCCAGTCCCTCTGTCACAGTCCCACCGCAGGCATCCCCAGCTCTCCCCTGAACAATTACAGCAGCCTCCTATCTGGCCTCTTTCCCAGCTTCTCCCCATATGACCATTCTTTATACACATCTTGAAACACTGGAGGAGAGTGTGGTGCTTAAGAGACTGGTTCTGGAGTTCTAGGAACCTGGATTCATATCCAAGCTTGGCCACTTTCCCAGCTGGGTGGCCTTTAATAAGTTACTGTATCCCCTCTGGGCCTCAGTTTCCTTACCTCTAAAATGGGGATGACAACCTGGGTTGTTGTAAGGATAAAACCATACTTCATTAAGATATATTTAGTACTGTCCTGGCACAGTAGCTGCTATTGTGATTTTTGAGTGTGGTTATTGATTATTAAGCACCAGTTTTGTTGCAGCCAGAATACACCTGGCGTCCACCCTTTGGTGCAGTTCGAAATCAGAGCTCCCAAGTGATGGACTCGCCCACAGCCAGGCCTGCGGATCCAGGTGAGCAAGATCCCCTAGTACTGGGTCTTGTCTATCCCCAGGGGAGATAACTTCTTTTCTGCTTGGACTGTCCCAGGTTAGGGATGATCTTGTTACATTCTGATCTTGGTGGAGGAGAGGTCCAACTTTCCAAAATAGTGTTGAAAGGACAGTGATGGTGACTGGAGGGTGAAGGGACTGAAACCATTCATTCATTCATTCTAGCTTATTATCTGAGTGCCTGGCACCATGCCAAGTACTAGAGATGCCAAGAGAGCAGAGGTGGATATGTTCCCTACCCTTATAGAGCTACTGTCTAGTGAGGGAGGCAGAAATGAATTTTTAAAATTACACAGACGGGTTGCACTTAAGTGCCCTGAAGGAAGAAGAGCAAGTTTCTATGACAGCAGATGGTTGAGGAGCCACACCTAGACTGGGGGCTTAGGAGACCTTTCTATAGTTGGTGACATTTGAGTTGAGACCCTCAGAATGAGTGGTATTAATTAGGTAAAGAGATAGGGGTGGAGGATATTCTTGCAGAGAAAATGACAAATGCAAAGGCCTTGGTGGGAGGAAGTGGAGAAGGATGGCCGATCTGAGGATCTGAGGGAAGGACAGTATGCCTGGAGCCGAGAACCAGGAGGGGAAATAGGGGCAAGGCAAGGTTAGAGATGTAGGCAGGTCCAGATTGTGCACGGCCTTGCAGAGCTTGGTGGGGGGGCTGGTTTTTATCCTAAGAATGATGTGGAGTCATTGAACATTTTTAAAGCAGAGAAGCATGACCAGATTTGTATTTAGAAAAGTTCCCTCTGGCCATAGTGTCCACCGTAAAAGGTTGAAGGGGCTGGAGCTACGTTCACTAGCCAAGAGTAGACTCCAGGTCCTTGTTGGCTGCCTTTACTCCCCGCAGGGCTCTTATGAGGCAGAAAGCAATGCCACACCTGTGGGACTTCTGGAACAGGATCACTACTAGTGGGTGAGAGTGATGGGAGGCCGCGCGTCCATCCATCTCAGCATGAAGGGGAACTTTCTTTTTTTTTTTTTTTTTTTTTTTTTT